ATGAAATTAAGAGTCATAAGAATATGTTCTAATTGAACGATTTATAGTCCGCAACGACATCTGATTTTTTTTAATTTTAGAATAATTCGGATTTGATATCCATAAAAAAATCAGATAATCGAATTGGATAAGGATCGATAAAATGTTAATTTCGGATTATACAAAAATCCGGAAAACAATTTGGCCTTTGATGAATTTATTCAAGCCCAACAGATCCAACCCCCACCCCCTATTCCTCCAACACTCGACCTTAGCGCCTCTTCCGGAGATGTATAAGGAAAGACAACCTAATTTAAGGCCGAGGAAATACGTGATCAAAAATATTATAAAAATCATAATATTTTCGGTTGGGCGCAACCTAAAATGTTAATTTTTTTCTTAATATTTTCCAGTCGAAAACCTTTTTTTATAATATTTTCGGTTGGGGATATGATTTTTATAACATTTTTGGTCGCCCCCATTTTTTTCGTTCCTTAGCCTTAAATTAAGTTATCGTAAGACAAAACTACTAGCCTCTTCCTCCAACTAGCCTGAATTTTCTTCTTCTTCGAAATTTTCAATTATTTATTTTACAAGCCTTTAAATAAGATATTAAATATTTATTTTAAAACTATTCAATTATATATTGATAAATATATAGTAGAGGTATAAAATATATTGTATAATGTTACAAAATATTAAATATTAAATTTATTTTTATCAAATTAGAGTTTATATTCAGATCGGATATTCAGATATCCAATCCAAAAATTCAAATATATGGATTTTTCGGATGGATACATATCGCAATTTTAGTGACTAAATTTTTTGCTATCCAAAATTTCGGATCGTATATATTCGTATCCAAAAATACACACCCTTAAAAATATTTAAATAAAATTATATTTTTTGATTAATTGGTGAAATACAAGGTAGTATTTGTTCAAAGACTCTCAACCGTTTGACATTAAACGCTCGTACTCCTGCATGCATGTTGCTCGAAATTGAGACCTTAAGGAATAACAACAATTCCTTAATTATTGAGGTCGCTCAATTCTTGCAAAATTATATAATTTTTTAAAAAGTTTGGGTCAATTTCTTTGGGGTAAAGTACGTAAATAGTCCTTTAACTATAGAGTGCTACTTTTTTCGATGAATTTGCATCTATGTATTCCAACAAACCAATGAAACAATCATGTACACAAAGAGCTGATCAGCTCACCAGCCCCTATACAAGTAAACCCCAATTTCCACAAATATTGTCATGTCTAAGCAACTGCCTATGTCTCACTCTAAATTTAAGCTTCAATTTAACACCATCCAGAATCTACTTAAAAACTTTAGACCGTTGTTCCCTTACAATTTTTCAAGTACTCGCAACCGAGGTACACGAAGGAAGAACAAGATCAGGCAAAGAAGTCACCAAGTCACGGAGATGTAGATGGCTCCTCCAAGTCCATCTGCACTGTTGGGACAAACGTGCAGCCAAAAGGAGTCCCCTTTAAGGACATATTCATAAATCTAGACAATCCAGAGGGATCCCTCCTGCAGCAACAACTTACGAATCAGAAATAAGGAACAAGCCCTATTCCAAGTCTTCATATTGTGCAGACCCAGACCCCCTTTAACAGACCAGAGAAAAACAAGTGGTCTCGCGATTCCAGCTGACCACAAAACACACAATGACAATCCACCGCATCCCCCCCAACGAACCAATCGATCATTTGTAGAGAGCCTTCCCAAAATGGTGAGCCAAGCAATGACAACATATTTGGGTACACGAGGAGGGAACCACACCAATTTTACCTCCAACCAGGACCAGGCAGTAGTAATCAAACTCCAGTCAGTCACACCCCCAAACAACGGAAAAGCCTCTTCCCTAGCCTTGAGGATCCGTCTCACACACCAACTGAAGTGAGGTTTGGTGCTAATTTGCTATAAGCTAGCACCCTTCAAAACATACACCTGAATCCATGCAACCCATAAGAGACCCTTACTAGCTAAAAGTTTTCTAATCAAGGAGAACAAGTAGGCTTTATTCCAAGTACAAAAATCCTTTAGCCCTCGCCCACCCTTTGGTTTAGGCAAGCAAACCGGGACCATCTAACTTTTGCACCTGTAGCTGAAGGATCAGAGCCCTTTTAAAAAACCCTGACACAGAGCCGCTCAACAATCCTAATAACTGATTTAGGCAAGATTAACTGACGGCTTCAGAAATTCACCATACCAACAATAACGGTATGAATGAGCTGCATACGACCCGCATAACTAAGATTAAGACCATACCAATGCCCCAACCTGGCCTTAATACTTTCAATAAGCGGATAACAATCCTTCTCAGTTAATTTCTTTGTAATCAAGGGAACACCAAGATATCTAATGGAGAGGTGACCAATTTTAAACTCCTAAAGCCTATGAATTTCATCCAAAGCAGCACCTCCAATTTCCGAAGCATAAAGCTCACTCTTGGCAACATTTAACTTCAAACCATACCAACTATAAAACTGCTCAAGGACACATTTAATCCCCACAACAGAATTCAAAGAACCCTTGCAAAAGATCAAGAGATCATCCGCAAAGCTCAAAATAAATTAACCCAATTCATTTGCACTTAGGGTGAAAACGAAAAATTTGAGCCGAAGCTGCTACTTCCAGAAGTTTAGAAAGCACGTTCATAGGTGCTAGTAAATTATAAACTAAATTTGGAATCATAAGTACCTGTCTAAAAGACAAAACAGAAGACGCAAACTGGTGAAGTCCACGTGGTTGGAAGCAAGGTGGAGATGTTAATGGGATCCATAACCTCCTATAATCTTCTCTAGATTTCACCAGACAACATTAAAACATCAAAACATAAACTGCTCATTTCCATTACAAAAATGTCTTCAACATGTGGAGCTGTAATAATAAATGATTTAGGATCTTCATTTCTGTGTGTAGTAAAGAGGAGGCAGGCCCTTTGGGATGCTCGTAATGGAGCCGGAGTGGTCAACCCTGCAACCGGAAAGACGAAGTCGGTTATCGTTGCGGCTGCTCCAGCTAAGAGGTCATGGTTCCCTGGTGTTAGAGGTGGTGGCAACTTGGTTGACCCCGAGTGGTTCACTCTCGATGGAACATATGTTTTTTTTTTCGATTTTAATTGAATTAATCAATAAAAAATTTGATCAAAATTTGATTCGTTAAAAAATATTTAAAAACTGTTAAATAGTTCTACTTTGATCTTGATTTTTAAATTGTAGACACTGCTTAAATTCGAAATTTTTTCTTATTCATTTTATTGAATGTGTCAATCCTAGAATTTTATTTGTATTTAATCATATATAAATTTTTTGTGTCATTAATATATGTATCTGCTCTAAAAAAAAATATTTATGTATTTGTCATTAACTGTAGGCTACCTGGAGACTACGGATTCGACCCATTAGGTTTAGGCAAGGACCCAGCTTTCCTAAAATGGTATAGGGAAGCTGAGCTGATCCATGGGCGTTGGGCCATGACTGCGGTTGTCGGAATCTTCATAGGCCAAGCTTGGAGTGACATACCATGGTTAGAGGCCGGGGCAGACCCGGGTGCAATAGCCCTGTTCTCATTCGGCTGACTTCTCGGAACCCAACTCCTCCTCATGGGTAGACTTTTTCAACCCGCAATCTCAATCCGTCGAATGGGCCACTCCGTGGTCGAAGAGTGCCGAGAACTTCGTCAACGCCACCGGGCAGCATGGTTACCCGGGAGGCAAGTTTTTCGATCCGTTAGGCCTCGCGAGAACCATCGAGAACGGTGAATGCATCCCCGATTACGAAAATCTCGAGAGACTTCCGGTGGCTGAGATTAAGCATGCTAGGATTGTCATGTTGGCCATGTTGATTTTCTACTTGGAAGCTGGTCAAGGAAAGACACCCCTCGGTGCTCTTGGGTTGTAATAAAAATTAAAATCTAGCAAAAAGCCAATGTAGGAAAATAATGGATTTGTACACATATTCAAATTATACTGTTTTAAGATTCTCAAAACAAATTAATATTCTAGCATGTCTAGAAAATTATTATTTAAAATGAAATTAAAAAGGTCTTTAATTAGTATTTAGTTTGTTCATCTAAAAAGATTGATTTTTTTGGGTATAAAAACCCACAACATGGACTACTACCCCAAGTATTATAATTCTTTATTCCAATCCTATACCAACCTTCGCCGGCAATCACCGGCCGCCTTTAGAATCGTCGAACGACCGTCCACCCATCATCGGTCCTCCATCGCTAACCATCCCTCCTACTATTGTCTCAATCTCTCTAAACCCTAAACATAAATCCCTAACCCAAATCTCCAAATCTGTTACCCTAATCCCATATTTTTTTAGCTGTCTTTGGAGAGGGGAAACGATGACGAGGGGTTATCGGTTTGGCGGCGGCGGCGACAGTGACGGGGGTAATGGTTCGATGACAGTGGTGTGGTTCAACGGCGACGACAACAATAATGACAGTCGGTGATGACTCTTAATGGGATTGGAATATGCTATTTTAGAATTTTAGGACTTTCTTTGTAAATTCATAAAAAATAGTTTTTTTAAAAATATATATAATTTTATGTTTTTTAATTTCAATAAATTTTTAAAATTACATGAATGTGACATGTGTCCTTTAGCATATATTTTAATGTCGTTGATGGCCGGGCACCTAAAATCGTAACGTTTGTAACGTTAGGCACTCGGATAGGTCAAAAAATAATTTAGAGACCTATTCGGAAAAAATGGTATAGTTTGGACACTTATTTTAATATTAAGTCTAGTTTCTTTCTCACATTACATAATATACTTCAGTATTTATATGACAATTAATAATTTGTATAATAATTTTATTAATAAGGGGGCATGATTATCATATATTTATAGTTTGGACTTTGGAGACAAATTAGAACATTAAAAAATTTAAAGATTAATTTAAAGCAAAGATCATAATCCAAGGATGAAATTAAACATTCAAATTTAAAGGACCAAACTTAAATAACAGTTGTAGTTTAAGAATGCATAGCACAATCAACACTTTATAGAGTTGAGAAAGTTACAACTTAACGAGAGACAAGACAAATCTTATCCTAAATGATTCTGTGTTTTGGGAGAAAACACGACAAGACTTAAAGTTTTACTGTGTAATAACCTTATAGCTCTATGATTGTGCTTCAGCTAATTAATTCTAGAGCAAACTCTGCGGATTTCACCAGCAGTTCCCGTTTTCACTTCGACGTTGCTCATCTTCACCATGGATCTTCCGAATTCGACGTTGAAGGTCAAGCCTCTGACGCCCAAGAAACGTTGCACGACCGTCCTGGTGGAATCGTCGGTCCATAATCTCTGATCGGATTCGAGTATTCCCCTGCCGTCCCTCAAGTTCGCAAAGTACGAATTGTCGAATCTGTTGGCACTGCCGGTGTCGAGCCCAATCCTTCGTGACCCGTCACCGTTCTGAGGGCAAAGCGCTTGAAGCTGGGGGACGAATGTGGGATTGATCGAAGGATCAGGTCCGGTTGAGGTGAAGTTGTAGAGCCTGTAACTGAAGAATTGACAGGCACTGGTTCCAATTGTGTGTCCTCCTGCAGTTATGACTTGGAGTGTAAGTTATATGTACAATAAGGACGGAGTAAGAAATTACATTCGAGAATAAAATATAAATAATAATAAAAAATAAAAGGACTAAGGTTTTAAATAAGTGTGACGAGATCTTGAGTGTCTGAACACTGACTTTATCATACTTATCAACATGAATTTTTTCCTTTCGATTCTAAGGTTTCGCACACCTAATTTTGGTGGATGTGTCTTCTAACATAGATTTTCTGCATATACAAATAATCGAACTCGAGATATTGTTTAAACAATATCAAGTTGTCTTGCCAATTATCGATATAGGTTTAATATAGTTGTTCGGAACAATTGCTTACCGACAAGGGCGACAAGATCTTGAGTGTTGAGACCCTTGTCTAAAAATTTTTGCTTTTGTACATCAACGGTATCACGGAAGCCCGGCAAATTGGCGGCGTCCGATGCCCGTGAAACCGTTCCATCTCGGCGCCCTGTAGGCACTGCCCAACTAGCACCACCGGTCTGCGTACATTGTTAGCAACAATCGTTAATGACTCGAAACCGAAACAATTTTATCACGGATTTACATCCAAACGAATTGATTTTTTTTTTTACCACAACTACGGAATCACGGGCCGCGAGAGCTAGAATATCGGCACACGAGACAACCCCAGGGCATCTAGATTCGAGCTGAGTCTTGGCATCATCGATGACTTCGTATCCCCTCAACAATAGGTTCGGTCCGGCGGTTTTCTCGGTATTAGCCCCATCGATAAGGATCGAACCGTCGCACCCTTGGACGAAGCAGTCGTGGAAATGCATACGGAGCAGTCCGGCAGCGACGGTGGGATCGGACCTAAAATGAGATCGAACCGTTGACGTAACGATCGACTCGACTTGGGGACATGAGCTCAAGTAAAACCCGACTCGAGTCCCCTGCCCTTCCACCAAATTGGCAACCGTGGCTAGCAATAATAGGGTAACAAACATGACACTTTGGTTGAAACAAGTCCCCTCCATTGTTGTAAAAGCAGCAAAGAGAAGATGCTAAAGGTTTATGATTGTTCGTTGGCAATTGAGAAAGAGTATTTATAGGCAAAGAAGCTTCGCACTTTTTACAGCCAATTATCAACTTGCATGGATAATATACTGCATGGCCTAAATTCTTGCAGTTGGGACAAAAGTCGTCCGTCAACGAAGCACTGTTGTAGTGATTATCCTTTCCACCGATTTTGATAATTATATAACAATAATTAGATTGGGACCTTTTTGACTAATATGATCTCCAATTATTCATTACTAAAGACCCTACTTTACAATATTTCAAGTGATTCCTTCACAAATTTGTTGAATGATTTTAGTGATAAATGTTATTTTTTGATGTATAAAAAAGATTAAACGTTACTCTTTCTAAAGTTTCAAGTTTGAGTAACCGTTTCTGTAGGGTATATTTGTGCCCATCGTTAATTATCTAAGAAAAGTTCTAACTAAATACTATCTTATAATTATTTGTACCGATAAATACATTGATTTCTTAGGGTTTCGTTAAACGTTTAGTTATTAAATTCTTAACGTGTGGAATCCACATCACCTAAGTGCTTCTCCACCACAAAGAATTATGGGTAAATTATGCATTTAGTATCTAAATTATAAGTTTTAGTCCGTTTTAATACCTCAACTTTTAACCTTTTCAAAACTTAACGTTAAATTTTGAACAGGGTTACTAAAATGAAACAAAAAATTAAAGTTTTTAACGGTGGGACACTAAAATGAAACAAAAACTAAAAAAATAGGTTTGGTTTTGAAAAAAAGAAGTTTAGGTACTAAAACGGATTAAAACTAATAGTTTAAGTACTAAACTCATAATTTACCCAAAATTATTTATATATATATATATATATATATATCATATTCACAGATGATATTAATTTAAATATGTCTGCTTTAGAAAAAAATATTTTTTTGTTAATTAGTGGTTCTGGTTTCTTAGTAGTGGGATTTAAAGCAGTAGCCATGCTTAAATTATAATTTTTTCTTTAGGTGATATAAAATTTATTTTTAAATAAAATAAGAATTTCAACAATTTATCAGAAATAAAGCCACCTAGGTCCCTTTCACCATCGCTGTTTTTATTCTATCTTTTTCAGGCAACTATAGAATTCAAAACAATTTTTTCTTTCATTCTACTCTATAATCTGTTATGAAAGATGGATAAATTTAGAGTAAACTACACATTTAGTACCTAAATTATCAGTTTTGGTCTGTTTTAGTACTTAAACTTTTAATTTTTTCAAAAACATACTTAAAGTTTAGTTTTCATTTCATTTTAGTACACCGTCGTAAAAAGCTTAACGCGTTTAGTACATAAACTATTAGTTTTGGTCCGTTTTCGTACATAAACTTTTAATTTTTTCTAAAACTTAACGTTAAATTTTGGACGGGGTACTAAAATAAAACAAAAACTAAAATTTTTAATGACAATGTACTAAAATGAACCAAAACAAAACTTTAGGTATGGTTTTGAAATAACTGAAAGTTTAGATATTAAAATGGGTCAAAACTGATAGTTTCGGTACTAAACGTGTAATTTACCCATAAATTTAAAACAATATAAATACAATTAAATACTAAAATTATACGTGAACAATGATTAAATGGTCCCTTTTGTTTAGGGTCTGTTTGACTTTGGTCACTGATTTAAAAATTAATGGTAAATGGTCTTTAACATTATCAGCCCATCTGGTTTAAATCCCTCCGCCATTAACTCTTAGCGAATATGTGACATAGTTGAGGGACTAAAATCGAATGAGAGCTAATGGCTAAGGGATTAAAATCGAACGGATCGATAACATTTGAGACTAAAATTAAACAAATTGATAATGTTATGGATCATGTACCCTTAATTTTTAAATTAGTGACTAAAGTCGGTCAAATCGAAAAATAAAAGGGAATATTCTCATAGTTTATCCATCAACTTTTGAAAAATTTCCTTTGTTTTTGTTTGTTTCTCTACAAAATTTGAAAAGAGAAATGAAGAAGATGAATCATCACAAGTCTTGCATTTATTTTTAAAAATAATTTAGACATTTATTTTTTAATTGAGTATAGTAAAATAAAAAAACAAAATTTGTTTTGAATTTTAATATTCGATCTAAATTAATTTAGATAAGAAAATTTTATTCACTAACTATCGAATTGTTCCTATTTTGGTTACTATGTATTATTTTATTATTAGTTTGGTATGATGTGACATTTGTTATTGTTATTATTATTATTATTAATTATAAAAATAATTTAAAATGTAAAATTAAAATAGATGGTTATCGTCCACTATTCGTTGTCGTTGGACTCCACCGTCGACGGTCGTAGATGATGGTCGTTTGGTACCAAATTTCACTAGCCGCTTTGTCTCGACCCATGAGTCCGAACCCGACCTCCATTTTGTCGGAACATGCTTCGAATCCGATAAAAAATGAGAAAACCGAAACACCAACCGTCGTAGATGATGGTTGTTTGGTCTTAGATTTCATGGATCGAGTTTGAATCCAACCTCAATTTTGTCAGAACATACTCTAAATTCCACGAATAAGAGATCGAAAGTGAGGAAACTAAAATGGATCAATATAGACTCACGGGTTTCGGCACATTTTCCGGTGAAACAACCACCATATTCAAACTTAACGTGTCAAAATGAGTATCTCACTACAATTTGGGATCAAACAACTACTAGTTCCAAAGGCCGATGATGGTCGACGGTGACAAGAAGGGGACAGGAGGAGCGATGATTATTTTAAATCTTTTTAAATTTAATAATAATAAAATAGTATTTTATGATTTACTTATATTGTTTTTATTTTTAATAATATTAAAACAATTCCATGTCATAGAATAATAATAAAAAAATATTTTTTACTGATTAAAATATGAACAATTTAAAAGTTTAGTGAATAAATAAAAAAAAAAAGTAAAATGAATAAAACAGAAGAAAATAAAGTTTAATGAGAAATAGTTTAACTTACCCAAAACACAATAAAAGAAAAACAAGTAACGAAAACCGCATCAACGATGCTTATATTCATATAAAAATATTCAAAATTTACATAAATCAAGTGATTTTAGTAGTTAAAAAATCATTATTATTTTTAAAAATTTCGAGTCCAAACATCAACGTTGTAGGGTATTTGAACGTTTATTATTAAATGATTGAAAGTCTTCAAAATAAATACTACCATTTGTGAGCACCTAAAATTAATAAAAAAATATTTAAAATCTGTTAGAAAAATAAAAAAAATAATATTAAAAATTAGAAAAAGTCAAATTTATGCATTAAAACACATAAATTAAGAAAAATTGAAAAGAATATGCGAATTTTAAAGTATTCAATAATTGCCCATCTTATCTATTAACTGGATCAGATTTTGACATCCGATTGTGTGATAACGGACATATTTAATTTTTTTAATATGATATTTAAATTATTTAACTCTTATCTTATTAATTAAGAACACGTGTTTTAATATTTTAATAAACATAAATGCTTGGGCTTAGTGTGTTCTTTTGACTAAATGAAAGTGAGTGACACCTAATTGGTGTTTAGTACGCTGCATATGTTTGAAAATTAGATAAAGAAATTAATACCTAAATTTGAAAATTTAGGATTTCTTCTATATATAATGACTACTTGGTATTATATAAAGAAACCCAAATAATTATACAATTATCGTTTCGAAAAATTAAATAATAAGATAAAGGGTAAACTACACATTTAGTATTTAAATTATCAATTTTGATATGTTTTAGTACATATTTTTTTTTAAAAATATACATAACGTTTAGTTTATTTATTTATTTTAGTATCCCAAAGTTAAATAGTTAACACGTTTAGTACCTAAATTATTAGTTTTAGTCCGTTTAGTACCTAAACTTTCAATTTTTTAGAAATTAAACGTTAAATTTTGAACAATGGTATTAAAATGGAACAAAAACTAAACTTTAGGTATGATTTTGAAAAAAAATTAAAAGTTTAGATACTAAAACGGAGCAAAAATGATAGTTTATGTACTAAATGCATAATTTATCCTAAGATAAATTACTTATTTAGTAATCTACTTATTATTTTATTTTTATTTTTATTTTGATCATCCGTCTTTAAAAATTAATGAGGATGTTGATATGATATTATATAAATATATGATAAAATACACAATTCCTCACTGAATTTTACTCTCTCTCCTATTTTAGTCACCATACTTTCACTTTTTTTCAATTTACTCACTAGACTATTGAATTGCTCCTGTTTTTATCACTCTGAAATATTTTATTATTATTTTCACATGACATGATATTATTATTATTATTATTTAATATAAAAATAATTTTATTATTGTTCGAATTTCAACGATGGATGGTGATTATTTTAAGTTTTTTTAACTATGGTACGATGATAGTTTAGGCACTAAACTCATAATTTACCTTATAATCTAAAATGATAATACAAATACAATTGGATTCAATTAGATACAGTGATGAATCCACTGCATAATTAAGTGGGTATGTATCTATCTTGAAATTTAAATATTTTGATTATTTATTTATTTATTTATTTATTTATTTTATGGATTTTACTCCCTTAAAATGTTATTTATACTCACCTTATATATAAAAATCCTATATTAAACCTATATTGTTAATATATATATATAATTACTCAGCTTAAAAATTATTTTTAAATCCACACCGATCAAATAAATTCAAATTTAATCAATAACCAGTTGGTCTAGTGGGATGAGACACTAGGTCTCTTAAACAATGTCAGGGGTTCGAATCCTGACATTTGCGAATGAAGCAAACTAGGTTTGGAGGGTCGTCTTGACCTCTGCAGTACTCGATCTGGATTAGTCGGTCAATAGATCGGATACCAGTGATTAATTAAAAATAATAATAAATTCAAATTTCGTAACGTCATATTGGTATTACTAGTTGTAATCATTGAATTAAATTAATTTTGACTCTATGTCCACGTTAAACAGCGATTTGCCATGCAAACTTGGCTGCAAATTGCATGTATACGGCA